TGGGGGGGGGGGGGGGGGGGGGGGGGGGGGGGGGGGGGGGGGGGGGGGGGGGGTACTTGGTCTGCAACAGTGTTTGAGTGGGTGGAACATGTCAGGTGGTATCCACATGAATGCCAGAACCAAAGGTTTCCCAGCAGAACAATGCAGCGGAACAAAATAAATAAATAAAGTCAGCTGTTGAGATGGGTTCGTCACTGCCTTGAAGTGTCAACTATTCAAAGTTCCTGGGCATGTCTCCAGTATACAAATTAAACCAGCTCTGTCTGAATAAAGAGTCTGAGTTCTGTGGCTAAAAAAAAAAAAGCTTGTACAGGAAAACCACAGTGATTGACTGATAGTAATAAAAGTCCACTGAGGCGTATCGAGCAATATTGGGATGTAGGGCTTGGCAGGTGGTAATCCTTTATGGACAATATATACGAAACCTTGTTATGGGATTTTTGTGGCGTGTCATTCCAAAGTTTTATGTCCTGTCGGATAACAACTGATCAGAGACAACTTTGTTAGATGACATCTGTTGATTTGAGCAGCTGGTTATGACGATGGGTTACTGATACATGAATTGTCTCATCAGGTCGGACGTTGTTTACAATACTAATAGTAGCTTTTTTTCGTGGCAACTATAAATGTTGGCTCAGTTCGAGCATCCCTGTGAACCAGCATGCACGATGCAGAGCGGTTCTCTCAGCACAGGTGTGAATAATAAAATCTCTGATGGATGAATTCCATTTAGCTGCTTCTGTTTTGGAGCCATAGCCGACTGGGACACACGAACACAACCACTGTTGAAATTATTAGTACCACGTGACGTGAGCTTTTCAAACTGACAAAATATCTGCTGTGACAAAAAGGTATTTCTTTTCAGGTGCGTAAACCTACAATGGTCACATATAGTAATAGAAATGTGCTGCTGTCCAGAGAGAAGACTATGAACTTGAGGTAGAAGGGTCAATCCTGTTATGCAGCAACATTTTGGCCTCATAACGTCTGAGGAAAGAAAGATGGATTGTTCATGTTATTGCAATATATAAAAATGGTGACATATTTAACTGGCAGGAAAACATATTGTCCAATCTCAGGCACTCAAACAATAGGGTGGACTGGTTTATAGTGTATGGTGATTATATACAGTGATTCTTATACACATAAACTGAACTTTTATAACTATATCAAATATGTTTTTGAATTTATTTATTTTTTGGGGCTGACTTTCTTTATAATTTAGTCTATAAGCGGGAAACTTTAAGAGTGTGACAAATATATTGACATTAGAGCTGCAACAATGAATAATCAACAAGTTATCAACTATAAAATTAATCTCCAACTAATGTGATAATCAATTAATCAGTGTGAATACTTTTTTAAGGAAGAAAAAGTAAAAATGCTCTGATTCCAGCTTCTTAAATGTGAATATTCTTTGTTTTTTTTACTCCTCTATGACAGTAAACTTAATATCTTTGGGCTGTGGACTAAATAGGTCATTCTGAAGCATCATATTGGGCTTTGCTGTTTGCTGACATTGTATAGACCAAATAACTAATTGACTAACTGAGAAAATAATAGACAGATTAATGGACAATTAAAATTGTTAGTTGCAGCCCTAACTGACATAGCAAAACATGGAAGAAAAGACATGAGTTAAAGTTTATGCTCACCCTGCTTTATTTTTTAAAAAAATAAATAAATAAAAATAAAAATTGTCATATGTCACTTCCTGAAATTGGGCAATGGAATTGTAGTCTTTTTTTTTTCTTTGGTATTTTTTATTTGGAGGGTGAGAAACTACCAACTTACATGGTGGGAAATGACTTTAGGGTCACACAGAAGCTGATAAAATTGCAAAAAAAAACAACAAAAAAAACAATTATATGTAATATACATATATATATATACACACACACACACACACACATATATATATATATATATAATTAAATTAATTAAATAATTTTTTTAAAAATTAAAATAAATTAATACTGTTATTACTTATATAGAGGGTTTAACATGGCCTATAAAATAATTTACGTATATTTTGAGTAATGTAATGTCCAATAAAGTATTTTAAATGCGCATTATTCGTTTTTTGTGTTATAAAAATAGACCTTAGTTCGTAAGTCAAGCCATTTGATATAAATATTAATAAACACGAATACACATTTCAAAGAAAATATAAAGAAGTAATTCATGGGTAGAGAAATGTTGCTGCGTTTAACAGGAGTGACCCGGAAATGTGTTACAACGGTGCCACCTACAGTCCAAACATTAAACTACGTCGTCGTTAAAAGCTTTAACAAAACGTAACAAATGTTACAGCAAAGTAATGTTAGCTACGTTTTACAATGGAACATAAACTATTCCGTCATAACAAACAGCGAGTTAACGTCAAGTTTGCTCAGAACAAACACTCTGCTACATTAGCTAGTCAATGCTAACGCTACTTTCATATCAAAACTGTTCATGGGTCGATAATCCTGTTTATCTCCTTCCTTTACCACCCTCTTCTTACTTTGGGAAGTCTCCTGATAGGTTTTTTGTATGTCTCGGAAAAGTTGTTCAGCTACTGCAGGTAAAAAAGACCGCATTTTTAGACCGTTTTGTTTCAGGAAGTAATTGACTCCGATAGCCAATGAGATGCAAGCACAATACTACGACTTCCGGCTCTAACGTTTGCTTCCCCTTCAAAGTAAAAGGCCTGGCATAACTCGTTACTGATACCACAGAGGCACTTTACTCATCTTCTTCTTCTTCTTCTTCTTCTTCTTCTTCTTCTTCTTCTTCTTCTTCTTCTTCAGTGTTTTGGTGTATCTAGAAGAAACACAAATATAGAATGAAATTAAAATACAACATATATTTTCTAATTGTTAAAAATATGTACCATGTAACTGCTTCAAATGAAAGATTAAAGCAGGGATGTGCAAATATATATTCTAGGGGATGTGCAAAGATTCACAGTGTAAAGATTAAAGCGTTTGTACAGAGAATGGTCCAGAAAGATGTGTGGTAATGTAATGTTCATGGACAAATGTAAAGAATGTAATGTGCCTTTATGTTTGGTGCATACAATAAAAAGATTAAGACAAAATAAAAACAAAGGCAAAGTACTAAAAAAGTCAAGAGGATATGTGTAAAACAGAAAAGTTATGTAACAAAATGCAATATAACTGTTTTTAGACTGAGAGAGCAGAATAGTTTTGTGCAGGAAATGTACAAACACTGATCAGGGGATATGTTGGACCACAGCTTCCTGCCAGAGGAGAATGTTTCACATCCCCCCAAGACTTCACCTACAAAATGTCAACCACATTAACACGTACTGACCAGGAAGAGACTCAAAATTACCACAAAGAGACATAAATAGACCACAAAGAGATGCAAAGGACCTGCAGAGACACACGTGTAAAAAAGACACAAAGTCCTTCCTTACTACCAGGAATCAATCACTTTCTCTGCAGAATGAATGACTTGCTGCAGTCTGCCCTTGTCCTTGCCAGTGGCAGCGGCGAATCAGATGGTGATGGAGAGGATGAGGATGTAATGTGCTACCTATACCATAGCTTTCAGGGGACCTCACTTTCTTTTTGTCTTTTCTGTGCTTTTCTCAAAGAGAGGACTGACTCTTGCTGCAAATAAATATTCATAGCTGCAATCACATCTGATGTATTATAAGCAGTTAATGACCATATTAAGAAAAATAGAAATGCCCAGAAGTAATAGCACACTGTCAATATTTTGGAGACCCACCAAATTTTCAAAAAACATGTTTTCAGGGGAGCTCATGACTTATCAAGAGGAGCCAAGCTCCCCCTGGCTCACCTTGTTTGCACCCTGTGAGGATGGACTCAATGATGGCAGTTAAGAGGTGCACCATCAATGTCTTTGGCAGTTAAAGCCTCTTCAGGTGCTGCAGGAAGTACGTCCTCTGCTGTGCTTTCTTAATGAGAACATTGAGAATATAGCCTGTTTTTATCCCTAAAATAGTCTCCTTTGGTATGTCTGTGTAAAAGACAAGTCCCAGACGGATATATATTCATGCCAACTTACTGCTCCATCTGACTTAGTGCCAACATATACTTGGTTTAAATCTAAAACTAATTTAATTCACTGATAATATATGTTATTCATCCCCTGGGAAAAATCAGCTTTTCGTTGTGTTATTTTTCTGGATGTACACACACAGGCTCATGCATCAAATCTGGGAGGATGTCAGAATGATGGGTCGCCGCAGCACAGCCAAATGAGCAGTAAGGGGTTTGCTGCCTTGCGAGGTTATCAAGCCAAGTTCCTACAGACTGAGCCACTGCTGCCCTAAATGTTGCCCTGTAAGGCACCAGTTTGGGGACTTTCCAATGAGGTTATTATTCATTGAAGGTGATGATGTTAAAGCTAAAGGTGTCAGGGGACGAGAGGCAGAGGGGCATACAGTGGATCTTTTTCACAACAGACATTTTGACACATCATAGAGGCAAAAATGTGATCAGGTTTTGGACATGGAACATTTTTGTGTTGGGATCGGCTGCAGACTGACTTGGTAGAGATGGCCGCCATCTTGTTTTTACATGGATTAGTGTATTGTGGTCTTACAACCACTAGATGGCACAAAAAATGTCCATGAACGAGGACAACAGGTCTCAGTTAAGTAGAATAAAGTATAAGGTCAAGTAAACCCAAAACGTGATGTCCTCATATGAGGACACAGGGTCTCAGGAGGATATTGTGTGGGAAACTACCTGAAAGCCAACTTTAAAAAAGTCTACGTCCAATCAGCAAAGTCAGTAACAACTATGAGATGTCAAAATGTCTGCTGTGAAACAGACCGATACAAGAGGCCTGGCACTGGCTCACCTAAATGGAAAGTACCCAGATGTCTGCTGTGAGAGAGCTCTATTGTTGTGCATCATCTTTCACTATGAGTCAGTCGTTTCCAGACAAAAAGGCTTCTCACACTATGACTACATCATTGACTTCACTGCAGGAAGCTTCTTTAGTCCCTCAGGAACAGAATGAGCAAAGACAATAATCACCATCATCATAATTTGGCACACAGAATGTGCAGCGACAGACTGATTTTAAGTTTACTGATCCTGCACACTGCGAACGTTCGCAACACTAACGTTTTGGTTCTCCTGGACCCTCGTCAAGAGTGTTCAAAGCCATTATTCCCAACACTGAGCTTAAATTGAAACTGTTTCACCATTTATGAAAGCTGCAAGGCAATGTGTTCATTCATAAGATCAACATTTTTTGTAAATAATCTTGTAAATAGCCTTTATTGTGTGAGGAGCTTGAGTTTTCTTGTTTTTTTCCCCCATGTTTTTCTTGTTCACTTGGTCTAGGCTGTTGTCAATTATTGAGAAACACCCTTACACCTGTGAACACTGGTGAAATGGTGTGTGTTTGACTGATGATTTTACAACAGGGGTGGTGTATCACATGTGCTTGTAATATACATTTAGTATAATTGACGGCTATTTAGCTGAAGGCATTTATGTGTACATGTTTGTATGTATGGTCTTTTCCTTTATGTACCTTTTCTATATATAGCCTTGATATGCTATTGGGAGTATGTACTTCTTATATTATGTATTTTCTTACTACTATTTGATGTTGACTGTTTGTAACAGGTGTGGTATGTCATGTGTGCTTGTATATCCATCATTGGTATTTAATATTGCTCAATCCTAATCTCCACACTCACAGACTTAAACGCACATTCTTGCAAAGTGTGTGAGGACTTAGGGCTGTCTTGCTATCAGATCATCAAGTGCACGATGGCTCGCCCACAGACGTTTGGAGCCCTTTGTACACACTTTCCGCCAAGATGCATTTCGGCAGACTTTGTCTGAGGGAATTACCCACAATTCAAAGTGCTGTGAAAATGAAACACATGGGTGCTCAGGGTATATTACCTTTCATCCACTTTGTGAGGCAAGAGCCTGTAAGACAAAGCTCAGGGACTGACCCCTGGAGTGCCTTGGCTGTGAAGAAGGTAAATTAGAATTTAAAAATCCTGTCCCATTGCTATTTACACAGTTTTTTGCCCTTGCAGTTTCTTGCACTCAAACATTTGCCGGGTGACGTCAGCAAAGTCCCTAAGGGTTCAGGGCCGAAGACTTCAGGAGGGACATTGGGATCTGGGCCTCAGAGCTCATCGCACTGGGATGTGTGTGTGTCTTTTTTGTAGTTTCCATCTGGGTTAAAAGGTTAACCTGAGCACAGCAGAAATGAGGATGCAGCAAAACCAATTTAACTGCTCCTTTTTATATATAATTTGTTTTCTATACACCACAAGTTGCAATTGCTGAAACCATAAATTTGAAAATTTCTATTGCATCTTCACAAATAAAAATGAGCCTGAAGAGCTTCTGTAAAACTTAGCGGAGGACAATTATGACCATCACACACCTACCAAAAATAAAACCACAGTAGTCAATAAATCGACGGCACACCTGTTAAGAAGCGACACATTTTCAATTGTGGAGAACTGATCCACTTTATTTGATTGGTCTGAACTCTTGTAATAGCCTACTAAGAGACATTGTGCGATACAAACATTGCATTTCAACATCATAGGATACACGGGTTTTCAAGTCAAAATAAAGTCACCACTGTGTGTGTGTGTGTGTGTGTGTGTGTGTTTGATAGAGAGCTGAAAAGATGCTCCAATTCTTTTTCGGCTTCATGTCGGATTTCTTTAAGATTCAAGTTTGTAAACTTTTTTTTTCTTTTTCTTTTTTTTTTGTCATTGCCTTTGTAAACACATAACATCCCGTCCAAGACAGGATGAATAACGAAGATGTTGAAAATGACAGAAAATAAAAATGTGCTATGACAAAATGATTCAAAATCAAAAACGAAAGGAGGAAAGTTTAGAGCAGATGGATTTTGTTAACTGAGCAAAGTGAAAGCCAGAATATGTTTGTTTTTTCCACATACTTGCAAAGGAACGTTACTGCCATTTATGAAGTTGACCTATAATAATTCATATTCAAAGCCTGTTGATTGACACAATGAAAGCAGAGATTAAGTGGTCATGGTTTTGAATCACCATGACAGCAAACTCCTAAAACATTTAACTGTACCAAACACTTAAAACTGTAACTGTGATGCAAAGAGTCATACTACAAAAAAAAAAAAAAAAAAAAAAAAAAAAAAAAAGATGTACCAGCTACAAGAAAAGACAGGAAGTCAAAACATCCAGATTTCTGTGAGTGGTGGGGAAAAAGTTAAAGCACATCTTAGTATACTCCTGTGCTGGAGGTTGAATAAGTTACACAGCAGGTAGTATGCTTTTTTTTGTCAAAAGCTACAAAGCAAAAAAGTGCAACAATGGTGCAGACCATTCTTTATGTTTGGTTAGTTTTGTCTTTTGTGTAATGGAAAGACAATTTACAGAGTTCAGATTTTTGTCAGGACAGTATCAAAAAAAAAAAAGAAAAAGAAAAAAGAAGAGGGACTAAAGAAACAAATACAAACATCAAACACCAACGTAAATCTCTGAGAAAATTAGTTAAAGCTGCCTTTCTTTCTCAAGTCACAAGGCATGGCAAAACCTGACATACTATATATTTTTTTTACCATGACAACATTGCAGAGCAGATCATTCTGGACAGGTTGGAAACTGCAGAGAGACACAGCTACATGTGACACACCATGGTCAGCTCTATTGAAAAAAAAACAAAACAAAAAAATAAAACATTGGCTCACTTTCATTATTCAGACGGGGTCCAGGAGTAGTCATAAGGATATCTTTTTCTGGCAAGCTTATATCAGACTTTCTGCTATGACACC